GGCACTTCGTGTACGACGACGTGAAGTTCACAAGCGTATTTTTTTCTCTTTACCCTTGAATAATTCTCGAATTATTCCTCGTCTGCTGTGTATTCTGATGCGGCCACTGACCTTATGGTCGTCTTCGTACTGCTTGCTATGTGGTAGTCAGTTCAGTGAATTTTTCAGTTGTGAGCCCGAATTTCCACGTCATGTTTCAACGTCTGTGATACCTGGCACAGGGAAGTACAGTTCGTGTGAGTGAGAATTTAATTCCTCTGCAACGAAGTAATAAAGGCAAAATTAAATCCGCAAGCAGAGATTACTTGTAAAGTCGAACCTCGCTGAAGTCGAATACTTTTGTATGTACATTTTTTCGAGTCCCTGCCTGAATTTCCTCTCAAATAATTGAAAGCCGCCCTAGCTCGAATTTTCTAATGGTTTTTTGATGGTCTTCTCTTCTTTCGTAACCCTCAGGGCTAGTTTTATATACAGTATTGGTCTGAGAATGCTTGATACGAGCCTCGTAAGTATTTTCCTTCGTTTAATTTCTCGTGGAGATACTGACCGACGAAACGGAAACTTTTTACCAAATATTTCTGTTTGAGTAACTGAAAAGAATGAAAAGATGTTCGGAAAAACTACTATGCAATGAGAAGACTGTAATCAATGATGCGTCCCATTATAAATCCCCGTTTTCCAGCTGCTCAGATGTGGGCAAGCGCAAAGGCCACATTAATGCATTATTTTGTGTCCAAGGGCCACATTGTGTAGGTGAAAAGTCCTTTCTGGACATCGATAGACAATCATTTTTAAGGCTTCAAATTTTCCTCTTTCAAAGTTTCAAATTTGGTTCAGTGCTATGTATTGAATCAGGAAGAGCATAGCCTGATAGAATTTTTGAAGGGTGGAGCAAAATCTTGAATTTTGAAATTCGTCTTTCAAAAAATACATTTTGAATAGTGGTGATTGCCACCTTGAAAATTATAGGGAAGGGACCGCAGGACTGTTGAAGAGTCTCTGCGGGCCAGATCCGGCCCGCAGGCCATATGCTGTTGAGCAGCATTGCATTAAATTCTCATCGCCCCACAGATTCCTCTGTTGCACAAAATGCGGTTGCAAATCAGTGTTCTCGCGCTTGTGATCAGCATCGCGATTGTCGATTTTGTGTTCGGACACGACGAAGCCCACGAAAAAGCTAAGTATCGCGCGGAAATGAACAAAGGCGGGGTGGAGTACGATGAAGGAGACCTGATGGATGACATGCGGATGTTCGGAGACGTCAAGTCCTTTTTGGAGTCTGACACTATGAAGCAGCTCGCGAGCAATCTTGGGAAAGGAGGGCTCTCACCCGAGTCACTGCTGTCTGTGGCTGGCAATTTTCTAGGAGGTAAAAAGAAAATAAATCTGGGTGATATCCACGAGTTTTTTTGTTCTTTTCATTTTTTTGCAGTCTCGTCGAATGTTAATAACTTTGCTAATACTTTGTCGGATGATATTAAATTGAAGTAATTTTCACTGAGAAATTGGAAGAGGCTTTACTCTTCCAATTTCTGCTCACCTTGGTTGAAGTAGAGAGATAGGGATATTAACTATTATATCTATTATTAATCAGCATTATTTATTATTTTCAACTTCACTTTTTAAAATTAGAATTATTTATTATTTTCAGCCTTATTTATTTTTATCAGAATTATTCAGTACAGTAATGTTATCAATATTATTGCGTACCGTATTTATTTGAGCAACACGCGCACTTCTTTCCCAAAACACAGGGGCAAAAAAAAAAATTAGTTGCGTGTCATATAGTCCGTGCAAATTCACAAAAATTTTCTCGTGCATTGTTTCAACAACTTCACAACATTTTGGGACGGCATTTCCCGCCCAAAATGTGAGCTGGAAAACTAAGATGTTGGTTTTAATTGAGAAAGCGTGATACTTGAAGAAATACGGTGTAGTCTTTAATAATTGTTTCGAAGTATTTTTTTAATAAATATTTTTAAAATCATTATTATTCAATTTTTGTCAATATTATGCAGGATTATCATTGAGTCATTCTCAGCATTTGGGAAACGTCTGCTCACTTGGACAATTTCCTTTTGAAATGTGCATGGCTCCTCAGCAATTTCGAAGTACTGCACCATGTTCAGAAAATTTGTTGTTAATCGCCTCAAGAAAGTTGAGACCTCAACGAAAACCTTTCTCGTATAAAGATCGCTTATTTTTCTGATGTGGAAGTTTCTTGATTATATAACGTAATCGAATGCAAAGAAAGTATCCCGAGACTCGGTGTAGGGTTTAATCAAGAATTTATGCATTCAATAATTAAGCTTCACAAACTGCGTCTGGATTGACTGATGCAGTAGTAACTTAAACAGAGTTGCTCTGTCTCATGCCATTTTTTTTCTCATAATCCTCCGCTCCATTTACAAATAAAGCGTTGGTAGAGTGACAGGGTATAAGTGGAAAAAATCTGTTATCGCTAAGTCGTTTTTACTCGTTTTTGAGGACGTTGATATGCACATCTTACGGAGAGTGGCGGATATTTACAATAAAGGCAATCGTGAACTTACGAAAATCTAATTAAAATACTGTACAAAACTTTCCGAGGAACGAGTTTCTGCTGGAGAATTTGATGAAATATGCGTTTCGCTCTTAACGTGGGGTTCTAGAGCCAACTATCAAATGCTCAGTAATGATCTTTGAATGTTTAAATACTTTAAACGATTCCACGAGTCGCATAAATTGACTTCAGCCGCCAAAAGATTTGCAGAAAGATTCCCCAATTTCACATCGGTCCTTGGCATCATTTTCGTAAAGAAAATGAATTTAAAGTCCCACTTTTCGCATAAAAAATTTGGATTGCCTGTTACTTCGTCTTTGACGCGGAAGACTTCTTATTTTGAGCGTCGATTTTGGCTGACATCTCTCTATACTTTTCATTGAAGAAAATACTGTATCTAGATTCTAGGATAAGGAACGAATTTCAATGAAGGGATATTGGAAATCTGTGAAAGTAACTGTATCAAAGGTTAGAATTTTTATACTTCCCATCAGGCAACAACAAGCCAAGTGGGAAAGGCAAAGACCCGACTGCATCTTTGTCGGACACGCTGGATATGTTGACCAAAGGTGCCGAGATGCTGGGTCAAATATTTCCGCCGAATCCCAACGACGATGACGATGAGGAGAATGTGATCAACGTAGAAGACGACGATGATTTGCAGGAATCCGTGGGCACTAAAAGATCCGGCGCTGGTGCGAAACGTGGTCGGTCTGATGATGACCCCTTGCAGGCCATTCTAGGTCAAGTTCTTCAGTCGGGGCCATTGCAGAACACGTTGATGAACGTTGTTGGGGGATTGCTGAATCAGGGTGCTTCAGAAAGTGGTGAGATTCACCTATTCTGCCGCTCTTTTACAATTGGTGGTTCTCAACCTGTGATCCGTTAAAATTGCTTTAAAGCTTTATTAGCCTGTTTTGAATTATAAATTATAGTGAGTTTATAAGAAACTTCATTTTCATTATTTGTGAATAAAAAAAAGTACAGTTTGTTCAAGAGATAACAAAATCGTAAAAATTAAAATGTTCCATTCGTCTTAAACTGTCGGTAAAGTGTAGGTATCCAGAAACTTTTTAAGGACGTTGAGGCGGATTTCTTTAGTTTTCTAGTGTCCTGGAATGTTAAAAACTTTTCTGTAAGATTTTCTAAAAAAATAATAGGAAATAAAATAAAGAGGAGCGAATTTCGTAATTGGACATTGTTTGACTGTTTCTGCAAAATTTCTCGGCGCGTGTGATATTTTCTGCTTTCTTGCACGTTCGAAATTTTGCCTTTTTCCGTAGTGCAGTTGAACGTAGATAATTCGAACTTTACTAAGTCGAATACGTCCCTATGTCTTATTTTCTGAAATATCTGTCTAAATTCACTTGAAAACGATGCATTGAGAACCTTGCTAACTCGAAGGCTTTCCCCCTAAAACCTTAAAATTTTGAATTTTCTGAGGCTTTTCTGTTTATATTTTCTTGACGCAGGAAGAGAAAAACAATTAAAAGTAACTTGATGTGTTTTGAAAGGAAGCGAATTTCCTACTAATTGGGCAAATGAACCCTTGCCTCCAAGTTCAGCATCCTGTCAACTCGTCCAAGAAGCAATTTAATGCCCAGAATATCACCAGTCACGTTTTCCTGCAATTCTTTTGTTTCTTGCTACAAAAATGCTTGTTTGTCTAACTCAAAANAATTTGTTTCTTTGATCATGACTTTCATTCGTTCAAAATTCAGCAGAATCTTTGAACAGAAGGGGGAACAGGCCCAACTTTTAAGCAGGATCCAAAATGGAATTTTTGTAGCGGAAAAAGTTTTATTACGTTTCGGATTTTCGATTTTGCAATTTGTTTTGAACGAAGTGATCGAATAATGGATGTTCGAAACTTCAACTTTGAAATCTGAACCCATCGTGAGCATTCTGAAGTAGTGTATATAGGAATACTGTGCTATATACAGTATTGAACTGCAGTATACTATATTTCAGAAAATTATTTTACAAATGGTGTTACAGTGAAAATTAGTGATCTAGCATTCTAGATTTTATGCAGTTCGCCTTGAATTTTTTCCAACTTTTGATAAATCCTCCGTTCAGAAGCGGTGTTGAAATAATTGAAAGTCTTCATTTGATTGAAGCTAAAAATATTTAATCATCGATAAAGTATTTCTGATGAGTTGCCTTATGATCCGGACACTTTTCCAAAGTACTGTACAGTATATGTACTGCGTGGAAAACGAAAATCCAGTCAATTAATTCGAATGTTTTTATACTCTCATGAAGAGATGAATTATTTGATAATTTAAAGTAGTCCTCTTACAGAAGATTTTTTTGCCTGAGCCGTTGTTGACATGAAAAGTTACCTCAGGAACACTTGAAGTTTACGTGTCTCGAAAATGAATGTACGTTATACAGTACAAGTAATTTTATTATGTAACGGTATGTGTATACAGTACTTTTATCTCTACAAAATGGCAAAATTCTGCGGATAGCTTCCATTCATTGAAAATTACCAGCACACAAGTTCTTGCCATTTTTTCGATACCCCTCTTAATGTTCAATGCAATCCAAATTTCCCTTCACCATTTGAATCCCCCTGTTTCATGCTTAGTTGTTAGTTCAATCCAAATTCCCCTTCTTCAGCATCCGCGGAGCCCCTGTAAACTTTATTAGTACATTTCGGGGCTCCGCGCAGCACGTGTTGAGAATCGTCGTAACTGCTGTATACAGTATAAATCATTGGTATTTTTCATTCATTTACAGCTTGCAAGGTAACGAAGGCCTAAGAGCTTTTTGTCCTGGATGAGAAACATTTTCAGAATCTTTCAATAGTACACGGATATAGAAAAACGATGCATCCCTGTGCATCTCAGTCTCACCATCGCTGTGGATAAATTCATAATTGAACTATTTCTCTTGGTCCACCCTGTTGTGCAAAAATGTAAAGAGTTTCTTTTAGCATTGATGCTGATGAAGAAGGCAGTAATGAAAGCAGGAAGAAGAATGCCCATGGTTCACAATTTTCCCATTCCTTGTATTGAATCATAGGTGATGGGCAGAGAAAAGGCGTCGGGATCAAAGAGTGCGGACAACCCTTTTGATGGTGTTGTTGATGTTCTGCTCTCCGCTGCGATGGAGCATTTCGGCAATAGCGAAGGCAAACCTCTACCGGCAGCTGACAAAAAACAAGCTGCAGAAAGCAGCAGCAGTCCGTCATCTTCGAGAAGATCAGAAGCAGCAGCCGATGCCGACGAATCAGTACCCACAGTGGGGAAAAAAGTACCGGAACGAAAAATCAACGGTACGAAACCAACGAGACAAGGTAATTTGAAGGAATTACGTGTGTGCAGCGTGCGAAAAATTCCATATATTTTTTAAAATTCTGAACACCCCGCTGGGATGAACATTGGCAAACGTCATGCAGGTTTCGCCTTTTTCTGGAATCTGACTGAACACACCCTATCCAGCCGAACCAAAAAAAAAAATTACAGAACTGAAGCTAACTTGATTTCATAATCAGCATCTCTCCTGATATTTTGTCTGTGTACAATTTGACCGATTAAAATTTTATGAACTAGTTCAACATCTAACTAGCGTATTCGATCACCATCAGGAAATAATCTGACCCAGAACACCGTGACAATCCTACCTAAACTTAGAAGCCAATAACCGGAATCAAAATCATCTTGACCATAGAGCTAAAACGTATAGCTGAACCCAATACACCTGATGCCTTAGCTTAAGCGTAACAAATTGAGTCCGACAAAGTTTGATGAATTTCAAAAATGGCGACATCTTTGCATGAAATGGAAGGTAAATCACGAAAAACGGTCGTTTAAGGTGCGGTACATACAAAACAGAAAATAAATAAATACCGTACTGCGTTCCTCAAGTTTTACTTCGAAGGAATCAAATACTGTAATTTCTCCCTTTAAAATAAGTTTTATGCATGGTAGAGTCTACAGTACGTTTATTGAATTTCACCATGCAGCTTCGTTTATAGTCTTATTTTATTGAACATTTCCAGTCGATCAAGAAGACCTGTTTGATGCCCTGAAGAAGAACGGCATTGACATCGACGGAGTAAAAGAAAACCTGGGTTCAGTCTTCGACACGAAACCCGAACAGGGGCAAAAGAGCAACCTGAGTTCCAAATCCGCGGAAAATTTGAAAAAATCGTCACAGACACAAGACCTTATCTCGGAAGCATTGCTAGAATGGGCTGAATCCGCCAGTACGGAAAATCAAAAGGAAGCTCGGCGAGTCGTGGTGAACGTCATCAAGAAGGCCTTGTTTAACTTCGCTTCGTACGGAAAGTCCATGGACTCGAGCAAATTTATGCAAGATCTCGCCACTGCCAACTTTGCCATCAAGCCGAAGATCGCCGACTTGATCAAGAAGTACAAGATTGATTCCGATTTCGAGGTGAGAACCCTTGTAAATATACACGAGGTATATC